TTTGCTGCTGTCTCTGCTTGGCTCTGAGGAGCCAAGCACTCGAGGTAATGAACTGCCCGTTTGATATATATCTCGCTCTGCTACAGCAGCAGTTCTCTGATTACTCATTTCTCTTCCATCACCTCCAGCCCCATGCACACATGCACATGGACACTTTGTCTGTTTTCTTACATAAACTAATTTTATGAGGTCTTTAATTGAGTTTTTGTGGCTTTTAGTCTATGTCTGTTAACATTCAGGTCATGTATATGCTCACGCACTCTTAAAGGTTGGCTAAATTAAGCAAATATAAATATGAAACAAACTCTTGCGTAACTAAAGCCTATTGGCTATTGATGAGCTTCTCAGTTGTGTAAGTCCAAAATACATCAGCACAGGACAAAAAAAATCATCAATAATGAGAAAAAAGAGACAATCTAAAATGTTGAGGGTACTGTACACTCTTAATGACCAATAAAGTTTCTAAAAGTGGATTTTTACTATGATGCCAAGCATAGAAGTAGCATTTTGGGTTCCCAAAAGAACCTTTCAGTGAAAAGAGTCATGTTTTTCTTAGTGTGAAGAACATTTTAATAATCTGAAGAACTATTTTCACGATAAATAAACTTTAGTGCAATGTAAACATTCCATAGATGTTAAAGGTTTTTAATGGAACCAACAATGGCAATAAAGAACGTCACTAGGTTACGTATGTAACCCTAGTTCCCAGAGGGAACGAGACGCTGTTGGGAACACCTCTGTGTGACCACGCTCTGAAACACGTGTGTAATTTGTCCGAGGGAATCCCGGGTGGCGTCACCGGCAGGGATGACATAGCGACCAGGAAGTATAAAAGCACATGCGGTGGAGACAGCGGCAGTCCTTCTTTGGAACGATGAAGTACCGGCTGTAGAACCCGGACTCTCTGTCGAGAGGAGGGACCACCTTGATGGCCTCCTTCCTCAAGAGAGTTTTCACTTCTTGTTCCATTACCAGGGCCTGCTCGGGGCCCACAAGTGTGGGAATGACCCCATTGAAACGAGGCAGGCGAAACCCGAACTGAATTTTTTAACCTCTTTCTACAGTGCGCAGGACCCATTGTGACACATTTTGCAGAAGCTTCCACACTGCCAGATATTCTACTAAGGGAATCAGTCTCTTGAGACTGACCTCTGGTGTAATTAGAGTGGCTAAATCGGTGCCCTGAAGCGGAGGACCGGCAGGGAACGGCCGATCTAACTGCTCTAGAGATCTCCTTGGAGGTTGCGAGCCTCCCAGAAACGCTACATTCCTGGGCGGAAGCTGAGAGCTGCACTCGCTGGAGACCGCTGTGTCCTGAAGCACCGGGGATGGCAGGGTTAACGAGACGATCTCCTGAGGGCACTGAGGAGAGACAGGCACCGTATGCTGAGGTGTACACCTTTCTTCCCCAGAGGGGCCTGCCCTCAGAAGTCCTAACGTTTTTATGTCAATATTTATGCCAATAGCTCTGGCGGTCTCCTTGGTGGCCTGAAGTGAAAGATCCGTGGCCCGACGCAGCTCTGCAATGTCGTCGTTCTTAATATCTTTTCCCTCGTCCATCTCTTTCAGCAGGTCAGCTTGATACGCCTGCAACACTGACATGGTGTGCAGGCAAGCGCCAGCCTGACCTGCTGCCGTGTATGCTTTACCCACCAAAGCCGAAGAAGTCCTAAGCGGCTTGGTGGGTAACACCGGGGCCTTGAGGGACAATGATGCACCGGGCGAGAGATAACTTGCAAGCGTCTCTTCAACCCGGGGCATCGTCCCATAAACACGCTCTTTAAGTCCAACCACGTTCGCATAGTGAGCGCCATTGGTACTAAAGATGCGGGCCGAGAAAGGTTTATTCCACGATCTGGACACCTCGGTGTGCAGATCGGGAAAGAACGGCAGGCCCCGGCGTGGAGGCAGTGACTTAGAGCGCAGGAATCGCTCATCGAGCTTGCTCTTTGGATGCTCTTCCTGCACTTCAGTCGGCCAGTCAATGTTTAATTTGGCCACAGCTCTAGTCACCACATCTAAAAGCTCCTCAAATAGGATTGACTGTGGTGGCAAGTCCACAGATTCATCTTTGTCGGTACCCTCATCATCTTCCTCCTCAGAGGAAGATAAATGGAGCACCGAGCCCTCTCCAGGGGCGGAAGAAACCGTTTCAGAACGTGCTTCCGTTCCCTGAGAGAGAGCGCTGGATCTGGCAGGTGAGGAAAGAGAAAAGGACCTACCCGTCTCTATTCCCTCTGCCCCATCCATTTGCGAACCCCACGATCTGAGTCGCCGCTCTGCATCGGCAGAAGCGGGACCTGAACTGCGAGGAACGATAGAGAGAGCGCCCTCCTCGAAGAGCGCTCTCCGAGAGCTGACCGAGCGTGCTCCGCTCCCAGACAAGCATCACACAAACTGTGTGTGTCCCCACCCGTAATGAAACGCGGGCAGGGAGGAAAAGACAGCCTGAAAGATTGCTTGTCCACTTTCTTGTCTTTGCTTGCCATAACAATGATACTGTAATATGATACCACTTTCAAAGACAGACAACAATAAATAGAACGAACACACATAGAGTGCTTACTGAACAACAGGAGCTGCCGCTGTCTCCACCGCATGTGCTTTTATACTTCCTGGTCGCTACGTCATCCCCACCGGTGATGTCACGTGTGGTAACACGTTTTTTTTACAGTGAACTATTAAAAACACAGAGTAATTTATTTGTTTTTCAAGGTTTAAATTTCCAACCATTTATACAGAAAAATGTGAACAAACTCTGCACTTTTCTTATGTATGTATGTATGTATGTATTTGTTTGTTTGTCCATTTTCCTTATTTTCAAATATCTTTTTTAAATAAACAGGTTCAACAGGCAAAGAAAGTCAAGTGAGTGATGAACTCGCCCTAAAAATATTTGTGAGTTCATCGCTGGTGTTTTAGAGGAACAGAAACGCTGTGATCTTCAGCATCTCTTTGTGGCGATGTGGACACACTTTCCCAGGTCTGTTCTGAACGCTCAATCCTGCTGAGAAACCTCCACTCATGCATCTGTGCTTCATCTCTGCCAGATGTAAGAGAATGGCCAGATGACTGGAATGAAAGCAGGAAAAGTGACAGACTGTAGTTTTCCTGGCAATCATCCAATAGTACTCTATAACAGCAATGCATTTCACATTTCCCACAATTCCCCACGTTAACAAAACATTTAATTTCTACATTTCATAGGTATTTTAAAAACGTACTAAACATTTCACACCTAAATCAGATTCAGAGAAGTATATTATTTAACATTCTCAATCGCAGATCTGTGACGTTTAGCTGAAGAGCATCTGAGATGAATGAACTACACATGAACTGTTAATCTGACACCTACAACATCAATCCCATCTGATTATTTACTCACACTTCTGAGAGACAGAATATCACTGACTGCGACCACTTAGAATCTGATGTCCCTTTTTAATAGACAACAGGTATCTTTGAAGAATTTCAGTCAGGTTTCAGGCCCCATCATAGCACAGAAACTGCACTTGTTAAAATTACAAATGACTTGCTTCTTGCGTCAGACCAAGGCTGCATCTTATTACTAGTTTTACTTGATCTTAGTGCTGCGTTTGACACTATAGATCATGACATACTCATAGATCGATATTATTAGATCGATAAACTATTCAAGAGCAGGCTTTAAGATGGTTTAGATCCTACCTGTCCGACTGTTATCACTTTGTTTATTTAAACGGGGAATCATCTCAATTAATGGCAGTAAAGTATGGAGTGCCCCAAGGATCTGTCTTAGGCCCTCTGCTATTTTTAATTTATATGTTGCCCCTTGGTAATATTATTAGAAAATACGGGATTAGTTTCTATTGCTATGCTGATGATACTCAGCTATATATTTCAACAAGACTAGATGAAACTTCTAAACTATCTAAGCTAACAGAGTGTGTTAAAGATTAAAGCTTCAGTTTGGATCCAGCCTCTTATGAAGATCTGAGATGACCCAACACCTGATGACACCAACCCTGAACCAACATGCAAAACTACGAAATTTTCCTTACATTACTATAAGTTTGGTCACAACATATAATCATTTCTCTTAATCGTGTTCAGCTTTTCTGTTTGAACACATGTCATTAACTAGCTGCATGATTTTACTGTACATTTCTGCCATATGAACATCACCTTGACAGTCAGCACTGATAAACTACTCCAAAGTGTAATGTATAAACTTTAATTTTCTGTAAAGCTGCTTTGCAACGATGTGTATTGTGAAAAGCGCTATACAAATAAACGTGAATGGAATTGAACAGGATATGGTGTCATGCTCTAGGGCTTCTGGTTAAATGCAAAATGGATCTTCAAAAACAAATAATAATAAAAGCAAAATGTTTAAATATATATCATCTGCTTCTCTCTTCCCGAAACTGTGGAAGCGTGTTTCTGCCGCAGGATAAAAAAATAAATATCTAAGGTAATTGCAACTTTTTATCTCACAGTTTTGACCTTTTTCTTCACAATTCTGTGTTTATATCTCACAAAAAAGTCAGAATTGTGAGAAAAAAGACAGAATTGTTATATAAAATCTGAATTATGAGATAAAAAAGGTCATTGCAACTTTTTATTTATTTATTTTTTATCCCCTGGTGGAAACAAGCTTCCACAGAAAACACTGCAAACTGCTGTATCTCAGGGTTAATCTGTTTTGTGGTCCAGGGTCACATATCTGTTCTCAAAAGTCTTTTCTGTTTTTTTTTTTTGCAGCTTGATTTTCATAATTGTTTTCCTGTTTAGATTTTAGCATACAAGAGGCTGCTTAATGAGGTGTTATATGACAACGTAGCATTTATAGTGCAACTGGGGCATGTTGTCACAAAATGTCACGTGTTCAATTAACATTTTTCCCCCACCGATCAATAACGCTAAAACATACATTTGTCTTTTGTTGCCAAGACCGTGCCTGCACAAACCTGATTTTCAAACTCAACCTAAAAATTGTGACAACTAGCCCCGGTGTGCTGTGAGAGGCAGGGAGGCGCGGAGGACTGTGTGTGTGTGTGTGTGTGTGTGTGTTGGCGGAACAGGAGCGAGCCCTGGATGTTCCGCTGCTGCTCGTGCTGTGGCTGCGGGTGCGAGCGCTTCATCCTCCTCCTCATCCTCAGCATCATCATCATCATCAGTGCTGTTCGCTCTTGTGAAGTTCTGCGGTTCTGCATGAGGCGGAATGGGACTGAAGAGCAGCGAAACACACGCTGGACCATGACGCGCGCGCTCACCGTCATCGTTTGCATATTTACTCTCATCCGAAGTAAGTAAAGAACTCAGTCTGCCATCAGTGTTTTAGCTTTGATTCAACTTCTCAGTTACAGAAATTAAACCCTGCTGCTTTTGCTTTAGAGATGCTTTAGAGTCGTTTTTGGTGGCTTCCAGATTTATTGCTGTTGTAAAATTGTGATATTGTTGCTTCACTGGGATGCCAAGATCATGCAAATAAATGCTCGGATTTAACAAATGCTTCCTTCTGCTTAAAAACACTACATTCTCTCTTTGTTTTGTTTGGCTGGATGTTTTTTTGATTAAGACATCTTCTTACACAGCTGAACTATTTAAAGGTACATACGTTTATTTATTTTGCTAAATAAAAACTAAATTGGTAGCACTTTTGAGTAGCATCATTAAAGTGATGTATATGTATGTATATGTGAGATGAAGACACCAGTTATATGATAGTTTAATATAAGGCTGTTTTTATTCTACATGGAGCTGGTTGCTCCTCATTGAGCCACCATGTTGAGATCACATGACCAGCTCTGTCACAGATACTACTGATATTCATAACAATCATAATGATATATTTATTAGATTTAACACATGCAGCTAGTGCATAAGGCACTTTACAAAGCATGAAACCAAACATTTTACATACTGCAGACACAAACCAGCTGACAAAAAACAATTAAGAACGTTGCACCTACGTTATGAAAAGACTGTTCGTTTAAAAAGGTTTTCAAATGTTTTTTTCTTGGTTATGTGAATGTTAAGTGAACATTCCAGTTGATCATTTTGAAAATTGTATGGGAACGTTACTTTTGAACATTCTCTAAACGTCCTGAAACAAATAGTAACATTTTAAAAAATGTTAGACGAATGGCCAACTAAAATCCTTTGAACAATTGAACAAAGTAAAGTTTTCATGTTAGTGTTTTGAGAGCATTAGATAATTTTGAATGAACATTATATAAATGTTACTATTAACTAGCCTATTAACATTAACAGTGGAAAAATAAAATGTCCAAACGACACTAGTTGTGATAGAATCCAAGCATTTTAATTATATGAATGTGTAGTATGAAACGGAGAAAAACGTATATGAAAAAGAACAGCTTTTCAGCTAAACCTCATGCACTCAGGCTGATGACTGTCAGTGTGATGTCCAAAAGCACTAGTAGTAATCGGACAGATGTTGGGCAGTTAAATGCAAGCACAAACTGTCTGCACGTAACGCTGAGGCAGTAGCGCGTGAGAGACTGAAGGCCATTCGTCCGTCTCACGTTCTTTCACTGTCGCTGGCCATTTGAGGCCATGTCTTTGTGTGGCTCTGTCTTTTCTCTATAGCTGAGGACAGCCTGCGGTCATAAAACACTTCAACAAATCTCACGCTGACTGCATGCTCATGGTTTTGGGTCTGTGTGTCTCTAAATGGACCTGCACTGGGTTTTCTTTTGCATATTTATTTACTGCATCTGGACTGGGAGCTTGTCCACCTGTCATCGGTGCATCAGTACTAAACCCCTTAATAAATTACATTTAGAATGAGAGTAACCCTAAATACTGGATAAAATAAAGATAGCAAAAAGAGTTCAAGCTCTGGCATTTTCATTTGCCTATTACCTCAGAAGGGGCTAGTTGGTAGTGTTGTTTTATTATCATCAAGATGTGGTTATAGTTTGTATTAAAATTTAGAATTTTTTAGCTAACGTTTTAGAAATTTTAGTGTTTATGTAATTTTTTTTAATTAATTTTTTTTTTTTTTACAAAACATTTCAGTTTTAGTTATGTTAAAGTAAATGAAAATGAGAAACGTTGCTTCAGAAACTAGATGAAATAAAATAAGTTTAATTATTTTATTTTAATTCAGTTAGTTCATATCTAGTAATGAAACAGTTGTATGGTTTTGGTTTTAGTTATAGTTAAAGCTACAGTCCGTAAGTTTTGCCTCTTTGTCGCCATCTCTGTTTGAAAACCTGCAATTGCAGTTATTTGCACAATTATCTTCATTACGTGGGTCGTGCACCGGCATGAATCTAATGTTTTGAGGAGTATGTGTGGCTGTCGGTCACCGCACCGGTGTGGATACTGTATTTAGGAATCACAGATTCTAGCCTACGTCTTGGAATATATGACCCAAATAAGAGTTTTCACGGTAGATTGTCACCTAAACAAGTAACAAGTCTGCCACGTTTGTTCTGACCAACTGAGGAAAAAAGCATTACAATAAATCGCGCTACCATCTGTGATTAAATCTAACGATCGGTTAGCTCATATCACATCAAACCATGCAAATTATTATTATTGTTATACTTTATTCTCAGATTATTAATGTTAACAACATCAGCATTGCGTGACTAACACAACTATAGATATACAGTATATTAGTTAAAGCTGCAGTCCGTAAGTTTTGCCTCTTTGTCGCCATCTCTGTTTGAAAACCTGCAATTGCAGTTATTTGCACAATTATCTTCATTACGTGGGTCGTGCACCGGCATGAATCTAATATTTTGAGGAGTATGTGTGGCTGTCGGTCACCGCATCGGTGTGGATACTGTACTTAGGAATCACAGATTCTAGCCTACGTCTTGGAATATATGACCCAAATAAGAGTTTTCACGGTAGATTGTCACCTAAACAAGTAACAAGTCTGCCACGTTTATTCTGACCAACTGAGGAAAAAAGCATTACAATAAATCGCGCTACCATCTGTGATTAAATCTAACGATCGGTTAGCTCATATCACATCAAACCATGCAAATTATTATTATTGTTATACTTTGTTCTCACATTGTTAATGTTAACAACATCAGCATTGCGTGACTACGTGTATTAGTGTGTATTGGCATTACCTGTAGATTTCAATTTCTGCACAGTCTAATCTCTAATTGTCATACTCTTCGAATTTCATATTAAGAAATTATTTTAACCCAAAAAGCAAATTATTCTTCGAGGAAAAAAGCATTACAATAAATCGCGCTACCATCTGTGATTAAATCTAACGATCGGTTAGCTCATATCACATCAAACCATGCAAATTATTATTATTGTTATACTTTGTTCTCACATTGTTAATGTTAATGTAATGTAATGTTAAGTAAGGAGATAGTTTTAAACACTAGCTGGTTATGTACAGTACTTGCTCAAATATTGATATCGGATAATTTTTAACCAAAAAAAAAGTTACGGACTGCAGCTTTAATTGTAATAACTCAGATGTGTAAAGTAAGATCATATAATGTAATGTAATGTAAGATAATGTAATGTAAGTGGGTTAGATCACTAAATGTAAGAATTTTGAGTTTGATAAGTGATAAATAAAAATATAAATTTGACCCTCTATTAATGTCCTGCTTGGCAAATCGTCTAGCGTTTCCTGCTGTATCTGGTTTTTGCTGGTTCTTCACACAATCGCTTTAAATCAGAGCTGTGTTTGTGCTGAAGTTATTCTTTCTCTGTTTGTTCCTGTGGGTCTGCTGTTCATTTCTCGTGTTCTGTGTTTCATGTGTTTCATAAACACGTAATCCTTTCTGGATTACAATCCGCCATCAAAATGATACATTTAATTATTCCAGCTGCTGTGAGAAAATGCTATAAATGATCCTCCACCTGCAGGATCCTCACATGCGATTATAGTCTACTATCCAGAAAACTTCTCTATGTTTACAGACGTGATGTAATGACGCAGCGGCATGCTCGAATTTCAGAAAACATTATTATAAGATAACCGTTGTGAATCGGGCTAAAGTAAGGAGATAGTTTTAAACACTAGCTGGTTATGTACAGTACTTGCTCAAATATTGATATCGGATAATTTTTAACCAAAAAAAAAGTTACGGACTGCAGCTTTAATTGTAATAACTCAGATGTGTAAAGTAAGATCATATAATGTAATGTAATGTAAGATAATGTAATGTAAGTGGGTTAGATCACTAAATGTAAGAATTTTGAGTTTGATAAGTGATAAATAAAAATATAAATTTGACCCTCTATTAATGTCCTGCTTGGCAAATCGTCTAGCGTTTCCTGCTGTATCTGGTTTTTGCTGGTTCTTCACACAATTGCTTTAAATCAGAGCTGTGTTTGTGCTGAAGTTTTTCTTTCTCTGTTTGTTCCTGTGGGTCTGCTGTTCATTTCTCGTGTTCTGTGTTTCTTCAATCGGCATTACAAAGCAAGTGCTTACAGTGTAGCTCTGGGTGTCTCTAATTATCGCAGATCACTGCTCATTAATATTAATTAACCCCAATTAAAGCTGCAGGTCTCAGTGGTGAGTCCATGTGTTTTATACTGCATTAACAGTGTCAGGTACAGGAACAGTGTGTGTTCTGCAACACAGAGATGATGAAGCACACTGACAATTAATCTGACCGTTTGTTCAGAAACTTGGTAAGAATGATTTGTAATTAATATTAGAGGCCGGTAAAAACCTGAGTCAGATTAGATCGAGCCAAAGAAAACACTTGTGTCTCAGCATTATTTTAATCCTCAGAGTTTGACTGTTTTGCTATTGCAGGGGATTTTAATATTCACATGGATAATGCAGAAATCAAAACTACAAAATAAATTATAACCGTTTTAAACACTTTTGACCTGATTCAGCACGTGCATGGACCCACACACAATCGTGGACACACTCTAGATTTAATCATCAGTAGAGGTCTAAACATTTCACCCATTGTTATTAAGGACGTAGCACTATCTGATCACTTCTGTATTTTCTTTGATATATTGATCTCTG